GTTTCGCTGGGAGTGTTCTTAGTGGCCTTTTGAAATGACTTACCACTTTGAGACGAGGAAATGACCGTGATGTCAAGTTTCTCATCCGAAAGTGGTGAGTCATTTCCAAAGCCAGAAGGAACACTTTCCTGACTGAGCCTTAGCGTTTTTGTCCTTTCCAGGAGAACGGACAATTGTTCACTATGTTGCTGAGTACTGTCATGGATGACGTCACTGTAATTCAGTATAGAGTCATCCCCCTCCCGAGGTGGAAATCGTGTCCTGTGGCCGGCCTTGCTTCCTTGGGAGCAATAGTGTCATTGGTGGTAGTTGGGGGTTTGTTTTTGTTTGTATAATTGTTTTTCTCCATATGAAAAAGTCGGACTTGGAGGAGACGAGGTTCACCATGGCATAGCCTTCCTACCATGGCAAGGACTTGGCAACTAAGCCTGGTAGTCACTGAGGCGCCCAGGTATCAGTGAGGCAACCGTACGAATACAGTCAACCGAGGAACATTAATGGGCACGGTTTACGTAACTCCCCAGCGTCGAATCAGGGATCATGGGCACTCGGATATTTGTTCCGAGACTCTCCCCTCGGTACCGCTGAGATGTCCGCGACTGCTTATTTATTCGCAGCTGCCCAATATATCTATTGGGCGTTCCACTATCCGCTACCTGTGGACGCATCCGGTAGCATCCAGCTATTCTTCCGATAATCGGCCGGAAGGGTATATTAACTTTGTCATTCCGTTTGTAACTCTTCGAATTATTCATAATAGACCCTACAAAGTTCGTAAACGGGCCCACGTTTTCAGATAACCACCACCCCCCCCATATAACGGTACCTCCCGATATTCGATATTTTCATGACTTTAGCGATATTATTTACCGGAATCATTTCAAATTTCATATTTGAAGTTTATAATGGGTACTACAGACTCTGACAAAAATGTTTGTATAGCCCCCATATAACGGTAGCTCCCTATATTCGGTATTTTGAGGATTTCACCAACATTTTTCACTGGAATCGTTTCAAATTTCGTATTGAAGTTCTTAATGGGTACTACAAGCTATGGAAAAAATTTCATATAACGGTTTTCATTACTACCACTTAGTTTTTGGAATTTTTTTTTTTTTGAAATTTTTCATGTTCCTTCCAAATGGTGAGGATATTAAAAGTTCGGCCCGGCCGAACTTAGCTGTTTTTTTTGTTTATATTGCTCTCACACATGAGTCTATATCATTACATCTGATTTACATTGATTTGAAAAAATAGCCCTTCTTGTTAAATATACACTTTATATCTGGCATTGCGGAGTTTTAAAATAAAAATAATATTTCTGTGTTGTAACAGACAAAACTAAATTACATGGTTATGCTATTTCGTACAGGTAAACGAATACATAACCAGTGGAGAGATTTGGAACAAATGCCAAAAGAATTTTGGTGTAATTCAATTATTCGGTCTCTCTTCTATTCATATCTTCACTTGGGTGAAAAACGTTTTTCTCATAGGAGATATTTTAAAATAACTCCAAAGTTTTCGAAACCATGGTATGTTGCCTTGTTTTTATGAAAACAACAACTATGGTATTAAGCCTAACTATTTTGCAAAAAAAAAAAAAATATATATATATATATATATACGTATGGCCAAAATAATAAGTACATCATTTTATTTGTATATGTTCAGGTAAATTAAAAAAATGTATTTAATGTAATGCAAAACTATTTTTTTATTCCATTCTTACAACATAAGCAAACTTATTACAGTAAGTATTTCAGGAATTTTTAGGTTAAATTTTTATCAGTATTGCTTATAACATTAGTATCCAGTATATCCACCTTTATTTGCTATGACCTTCTGTATTCTTTTTGGCATACTACTTACAAGCTTACGGCAGGTATCAACAGGTATTTTATACCAAGCTTTTTGTACAAAATCCCAAAGTTGGTCTTTATTTTGGAATGATTGTGTACTAATGCGTTTTCTATGGGATTGAGGTCAGGAGACTGGCTAGGCCAGTCTAGGAGTTTTATTTTATTTTGCTGAAACCAATCTTTGACATACCGGGATGTGTGTTTCGGATCGTTGTCCTGATGAAACACCCATATAAGTGGCATATCTTCTTCAGCATATGGTAACATTATAGTCTCCAATATATTTTTGTACTCGAATCTGGTCATTGTATCAGTAATACAATATATTGGACCAACGCCATTCCAAGAAAAGCAGCCCCATACCATTATGCTTCCACCCCCATGTTTGACTGTCTTTTTTGTAAACCGAACATGAAATTCTTTTCCTTTGGGGCGACGAACGTTCCTTCCATTATCATTTCCAAATAAATTTATTTTGGTTTCAACGCTCCATAGATTATTTCGCCATTTTTTTCATGTACGGATCTGCACCAACCCAAATGTTCTCTTGCGAAAAATAACCACATCATCAATTGTTTTTACGAAGCAGTGGAACCTTTCTGGCTATTCGTCCTGGCAATTTGGCATCTGCAAGTCTTCTCCGAATAGTTCGAGCGGATATCACATTGCATTCGTCCGCAGAAATTTCCCGAGAGGATATAAAGGGATATCTTTTTGCGAGGGTGACAATAAGGCAATCCGTTATATGCGATGTCTTATTTGGCCTACCGCGTGTTTCTTTAGTTTTTTTGGGTTTCAACGCACTTTGGACAAAACACACTGATCTATCAAGTGATTTTGTCACTAGTCTTCTTTCTTCTGGAGAACAGTGTTTATTTCGACCCACCTACCGATAAAATTGTGGTGCAATTTGTTTTAATTTTGATAAGGAAAATTAGTTAAATAACAAACCTTTATTAAAATGCACTCAGCAAGAGGTAAATATTGAAAAATCGAAATTGTACTTATTATTTTGGTCAGCCAAAATACGAACTTTAGCACAAAAATAAAACAGAAACAAAAGTAACGGGATTTTTGCATTTGTTCACTTGTTGATTCATAGTTGCCATATATATGTTTGGAAATGGTGCAAAGTTGCCATATTTTACTTAACGGCCCAGACCGCGTTGCCTGTAGTTTTAGTTTTTGTTCTGTTCTGTTGTTTTAGTCTTTAACGCATAGTTTTTAAAGCATGATAATTCACAGATCTGGCTCACAAAAGTGGCACAATTTTTAGTATAAATGATGACTCATCTAAAGAGAAATAAATATGCATTTCAAAAATGTCAATATAGGTTCACGTAAATAATATAGCACATATATTAAACTGTATACACCAATTGTTTATAATAGTCCCATGTAAGATGGTTCTCTACCCCCAAAGTAGCCTAAACACACATTTTAAGCCAAATCGATTCAAAAATATAATCAAAACCCTCGAAATAAATAAAATCAGGGGGTACCTTTATATAGGTAGCGCCAAAACATTGACATTGAAAATTTTCCGCGAAGAGGTGACCTACAATGTGACCATGACCCTGGAAATAATTGAAATTAGTGGATGCCTTCATACAAGGGTTATACCAAAGCTTGGTCCAATATTTATAATTATTTGAAAGAATGTTTTGTTCTTTCTAAAATCTCAAATTACCAACATTTAAGGAATTAAAAAGGGGCAATGCATACCAACCTGAAACATATTTTGTACAAAATGATTCTTTATGTAACCCATAGGACTGCATTAACTTTTGCGGAGTATAGAGGAAAATATTTGAGGCCCTTTGCGTATGTTTAAGCTATATAAAATGGACCCTAAAAAGTTTGACTCGGGAACCCCACCCCTTTAAAGATTCTTATCTACCAACCTCATGATTGTCTTGGGTGCAGCGATAGCCCATAGTGCCCGTATGAAGTTACCTGTGATTTAAGGTTACGGGTTCGTTTAAGGGCTCGCAAGAATTTTCCAATGATATGATTACTTTTCTTACCAAATTTTCAATTCGCTCCACTGTTTTGTGTAGTACGCATATTACATTGCCTCTTCATATTCGGTAGTTCACTAATTAAAGTCCTAATGAATTTTGAAATCCTGGAAATATGACTTTAATTTAACTATCAAAAATAAGGTTTCATCGGTTTATAAAAGTTAGGGACTCCATAAATTGTATTAAAACGTAGAAATCTTTGTCAATTAAATTATGACATGTTTTTGTTACAATTTCTACCGAATGAACTGTAAATTGACATTTAATGTTTTGAGTATATATATATATATATATATATATATATATATATATATATATATATATATATATATATATATATGTTATAACCCAAACCAAAATGCCTTTCCAATGACTTGGCAATATATTCATATTACAATTATCGTACCATCTGTCATTTAGAAAAAAAAGCCACACCCTTCTTGCAAATCACACAATCGATCGTATTTCAAATCATACGATCGAATCAAAAGACCAATAAATAATCATACGATGTATCTAGAATTAAAATAAACAATTATGTATATTGCACTCATTCACAAATAAAGATTTAGTTCTATTCCAGCAGCAAACTTTAATTGACGTGTTATTTTTAACGCGAGTTTCGCCAAAGGGAGGAAACTCACTTTAGTTTTTAAAAAATATAATACTATTAAGAATGATTATAATTGGCGCAGTCGGTAGGATTACCATGATCGTTTGGTAGTCCGTGAAACGAAATCCTACGTAAAAGGATAAGTCCTCCGGAAAGGGACAATAAACTTAGTGATTAAAGAAACATTTTAGTGAATAGTAAAAAAGAAACAAGTTAACAAAATTACGTTAAACAAGAAAACTAGGAAAAGTTAAAAGTGGACATCACATCCTAATAAGAGAGAAATAAATTTTTAAGATTAACAAATTGTTACAAATTTAAAAAAGCAAATAATTACAATATAAGAAATAATTACGAAACTTAAAAAGTGAAAGTGGTAAAACATTAGAGGAAAACTAAAAAACATTAAAAGACTTACAAATAGCCAAAAAATAGCAACGAAGTGAAATTTGGAACATTAATAAGATTATAAAAAAAATTGAAACAAATGAATAACGCAAATCAACCAGCCCTTAACCCAGCGCAAAACAACATACAATTACGTACGCTAGACATCAATCCCCTTACATATATTGAAAAACTAAGGGAATTTGATGGGAAGAAGGAAGACCTCACAACATTCATAACAAATGTAGATGACATAATTCCTACATTAATGTTATACAACGAACAAGCTCAAAGAATGTGTATGAACATCGTAAAATCAAAACTAACTGGAAACGCCAGAAGAGCAATGGAGGTTCATCCCCATTTGACCCTTTGGACTGACATAAAAGCGATGCTAAATACCAACTTTGGTGGCTTTGCCACTGTGGACCAATTATATCAGGAACTGAGAGCAGCGCAGTATAAAGGAGATACTATGGATTTCTACAACCACATCCAACACAAACTAGCAATTCTTAACCAAAAATGTGGTCAGGAGAATCGATTGGATGAAGTCGATAGGAATATCCAAACTGGTCTGAAGACTTTTATAACACGTCTTCCAATCCATATGAGGACTGTATTATGCGCATTAAAACCACAAAGTATGGAGGAAGCTTTGCATGAATTGAGCTCTGCGGGATTCCTGAACAACGAAAAGAAGAAGGACAAACCACAACCAAGTCCCCAACAGCAACATTGGCAACCAACGATAATGCAGCCACATTACCAACAACAACAACAACATTGGCAACCAAAAATAATGCAGCCACATTACCAACAACAGCAACATTGGCAACCAAGGATAATGCAGCCACATTACCAACAACAACAACATTGGCAGCCGAGAATTGTACAACCAAATTTCCAGCAACATGGATCGCAACAACCTTACTACAAGCCTCAGCAACCACAAATCAGACAACAGCCTCCAACATCATATCAACAAAAGCATGAATCAATGGATGTTGATGCATCTCAACAATCAAAAAGGCAGACACACCACCAGGAGCAGAAATCATGTAAGAATTTAGAAGGTATTAACAATAAAATAGAGATAAGCGAAATGTATCAAGATGATTTGTATCAAGACAGTGTATATCAGGATAATAAAGAAGATCAATACAGTTCTGAATATGAGTATGGTACTAATGAAAATTTTGAAGCCAAAGCGGAAAATTTTCGGTTAGTTCCTTACAAGGAGCCACCGGACTTCCCTATATCATACTCAAAGGAAGATCAAGGAAAACAAGATTATTAATTGACACGGGTTCCACAGAAAATCTAATATGTAAAGATCATTGTCCTCCACAGTATATAAAAAATTCTCACACTCCAATATACATTAAAACTGCAGCAGGTGTCATTACGGTTGACCGCAATGCCCATTTTCCAAAAAATTCTATTAAGATTCCCCTTAATTCAGGTACAACATTTAGGGTGTATACCTTTCACAAATTCTTCGATGGAATATTAGGCAACCAAACATTACAAGAAAATTGTTCTGTAATTGATTATAGGAAAAAAGAAGTAAGTATTAACGGTCAAAAGTTCAGGATATATTTTGAAGGAGATTCTGAAGATGACGAATTTTCACTACAAACATTGCCAGAACTCCATCATATTAACATACTAGGAATTACTGAGCAGCTAAGGACAGACCACCTAAATACAGAAGAAAATCAGAGCTCCAAAGATTAATAACTAAATATGAAAATGCCTTTTACCATCCGGGAGATGATCTGACCTTTACCAATGAGATAAAGCACAAGATAGAAACAGGAGATCATGGCCCTGTATATACGAAATCATATAGGTATCCAGCAATACATACTGAAGAGGTAGATCGACAAATGAATGAAATGCTAGAACAAGGTATAATAAAGCATAGTTCATCTCCATATAATTCTCCTATCTGGGTAGTACCCAAGAAGGAAGATAAAGTAGGAAACAAGGAATGGAGAATTGTTATAGACTATAGAAAATTGAATGCTATCACTGAAGATGATAGATATCCAATACCAGTAATTGACGACATACTAGATAAACTAGGTCGAGCTAACTATTTCACAACATTGGACTTAACAAAGGGATTTTATCAGATTGAGGTAGATCCAAAAGATAGGGAAAAAACAGCATTCTCTACAACAAATGGACATTATGAATTTATAAGAATGCCATTCGGTCTAAAGAATGCTCCGGCAACTTTTCAGCGAATGATGAACAACGTGCTCAGAGAGCATATAAACAGGATATGTGTGGTATACATGGATGATATTTTAGTATTTTCGACTTCATTACAGGAGCATATGGAAAACTTGGGAAAAGTTTTGAAAACATTAGAAGTTGCAAATCTAAAAGTATCCTTAAATAAATCAGACTTCTTGAAAAAAGAGACTGAATTTTTAGGACATGTAGTGACTAATAATGGGATAAAACCAAACCCGAATAAAATAAGATGTATTAAGGAGTTCCCCATACCAAAAGATGTTAAGGAAATACAAAGTTTTCTGGGATTAACGGGTTATTACAGAAAGTTTATCCCAAGTTATGCAAAAATTGCAAAACCCTTGACCATGAGACTTAAAAAAGATGCAATAATTAATACTGAAGATGCTGACTATGTACAAGCATTTAAGAAGTTACAACAGATTCTGATGTCCGATATGGTACTTCAATACCCGGATTTTGAAAAGAGTTTTACTCTGACTACCGATGCTAGTAATTATGCATTAGGAGCCGTCCTGTCACAAAGCAATGGACCAATAGCGTTTGCTTCACGCACTTTAAAACCGTCATGAGATTAATTATTCCACAGTTGAAAAAGAATTACTTGCAATTGTTTGGGCAGTTAAGCAATTCAGACATTATCTTTACGGTAGGAAATTCGAACTAAGAACCGATCATAAACCCCTTATATGGCTGGCAAATCTTAAGGACCCTAATTCCAAACTAATCCGTTGGAAAATAAGGTTAAATGAATACGAATTTGACATCAACATGTAGAAGGAAAGGATAATAAAGTAGCTGATGCTCTCTCAAGAATTAGAGAAGTTAATGCAATCACAGCTAAAGAAAACATAAATGTGAGATATGTAATAAAATGTTTAGTAAGAAGAATCTGCTTAGGAAACATTTGGATGAACATTTAAAGAAAAGACCACCTTCACCTACTTCTACAATACACAGTGCTGACGAAGATGGCCATAATTTCTTTAAGATATCAGAGAAACCTCTTCAGCACTACAAGAACCAAATAAAAATTGACAATTCCAAGGACAATAAGACGACACATGAACGGATATTTGATAAGAATAGGAAAATATACGCTTATGAAACATTCGACGACGAATTAATATCACGAATATTGAATGAAGCCATGGAAAATAATCTTTCAGCATTGTATTGTGAGGATACGGAAATTTTATTGAAATTACAGGAAAAATATAAAACCACAAAAGATAATCCTTTAAATACAAAACAATTTGAAATCATATTAACAACTAAATTTCTGCAAGATGTTAGATACGAAGAACTCCTAGAAATCATAAATAGACACCACCGATTTGAAAACAATCATCCAGGAATAGATAAAACATATATTGAATTAAAAGGAAATACTATTATCCGAATATGAAAAAGGAAATTGTTAAAATTATAAATAACTGCGTTATATGTAATTTCAAAATAGAAAGAAACCCCGTCAAATTACCATTCGAGAAAACGGAAACACCACATGGACCTTATGTTCATTACCACTTGGATATTTGGTATCTTAATAACCAAATATTTTATTTGACCATGATTGACAAATTTACAAAATATGCAGCAATGGAAGAATTATCTGACAAAACACCATTACAGGCTATAAAAGCTGTAAATAAATTGTTCCTCATCATGAAGAAACCCCAAAAGATTACTATGGATAATGACCCGACGTTTTCTAATCCAGTATTTACGGGACACCTTGAAGATAATGATATTCAGTATCACTTTACAACACCTCATAGACATACTGGTAATTCGGACATTGAACGTTTTCATAGCAGTTTAAATGAGAATATTAGAATATTAAAAATTAGGGAGGAAAATAATGATGTAGCATACAACTATGATTTACCTTTGCAGGCATTACAGGCATACAACAATAGTTTACATCTTTCTACGAAACAGAAACCCATTGACCTTCATTTTATAACTCAGATATTCATATGGAAAAAGTTTATAATGAAATTGAAACAGCAAAGGAAAAGATGTTAAAATACAGAAATAAAGAAGAAAGGATGAAGATATTAATCCTAAATTTGGAAGAACAGCAATCCCTCATAAGACCGAGGCTAAAATAAAACAGTTGACTACACGGAAAATTAATGACAAAAATATAAATTAGATAACCGAAATACAATACTTCATAAAGACCAGTTCATTAAAAGGAAATGTCTTTCCAGGTCTCTGGAAGTCCTTGCTGGCGATTTTCTTGATGATATCCCCAGTGGTAGCGCAGAAGCTCGAGGTAGTCGATTTGAATAAAGGCAACGGATATGCAATGATACAACTTAATGACAAAATGTTAATAGATGACTATATTAAAATTCTTCACATATTTAACACCACAAAATATATGGATTTTTGAATGAATTGGGAGAGGAAGTTTCGCATATTAATGATTCATTTTTATCGCATGAAATCGAGCACATACATTTACGACTTAAAAGTATTATTCCCCATCAAGCTAGAAATAGAAGAGGTTTAATTAATCTTTTTGGTACAGGATTAAAATATCTATATGGTACAATGGATAATAATGATAGAGAAGAGATTGAAAGACAATTGCAAAATTTGGAGAAGAATGAACATAATATAATAACGCAAACTAATAATCAAATACACATAATACACAATTTGACAATCAATTAGCTAACTTAACAAAATTATATAATGACCAAACAAAACTGTTGATTAAGAGCATGTCAAACGTTAAATCAATTAAAGATAACACAGCAAAAGCTGATAAAGTTTACCGTCTTAAATACCAAATTGATCATATGGGCAAATTATTAGATAAAGTAAGAGACCTAATCTTGGCTTCCAAATTAAATATTCTCACTCGAGATATCCTGAGTGATGAAGAAATTAGAATATATAATATAACCATAGATAAAATGAAAGAAATTAAGATGAATTTAGCCCTTTACAAAATAATATAGTATTTGTCTTAAAAGTACCCCAATATAATCCTAAAATATTCCAAGAAGTATATATTCAACCAATACCTAATAAAGAAAAAATGCAAATTAATATTGCAGAAAAATTGTATATCACAAAAGATAATAAAATTTATTATGATGTTAATGAAACACCAAATCTAAGGGAAGTTGAGGATGATTGTATATCCAATCTGTTTAATTATAAGCTCATGAAATGTCATTATATACAAAATACTAAACCAAAAGTTGTCGAAATTGGCTTAAATATTATAATTGCTATAAATACTAATCAAATTGTTATCATACATGTAACAAATACCCATTAAAATTATCTGGAAATCACATGCTGATCATAGAAAATTGCAAAGTAAAATTGGACAAATGGTACAATAAAGTAATGTTTCAAAACATGTTAATAATTCCAAATCCCTACAGAGACATGCATATGATAAATGATTCATATGATTCTTTAGAGGAAATACAGTATCATCATATTAAAAATACCGAATTCATATCAGAAATAAAATTTGAACAGAAAGTAACTAATTACACAGTAATAGTCTTGACAGCTGTAATTATACTTATTATAGCATTGTATCTGTATGTAAAATATAGATCAAGCACAGTAAAAGTAAAAGTAACTATGCCCTTCCCCTCAGCTCCTTTGGAACACGGAAAGAGTCTTCGTCCGGGGGTGTTATAACCCAAACCAAAATGCCTTTCCAATGACTTGGCAATATATTCATATTACAATTATCGTATTCATATTACAATTATCGTACCATCTGTCATTTAGAAAAAAAAGCCACACCCTTCTTGCAAATCACACAATCGATCGTATTTCAAATCATACGATCGAATCAAAAGACCAATAAATAATCATACGATGTATCTAGAATTAAAATAAACAATTATGTATATTGCACTCATTTACAAATAAAGATTAAGTTCTATTCCAGCAGAAAACTTTAATTGACGTGTTATTTTTTAACGCGAGTTTCGCCAAAGGGAGGAAACTCACTTTAGTTTTTAAAAAATATAATACTATTAAGAATGATTATAATTTATATATATTATATATATATATATATATATATATATTATATATATATAAAATCAATTGTGGTTCGTTGGTAATGGAATCAGTTGAGACGGCTGGACCGATTTGCATAATTTTTTGTACAAACGTTCGTCATACCACAAGTTAGGTTCTTTAAGAAAAAAAAAAATATTGACCACGCCTACTTTTACGCCCACTATTTTGATTTATCTAAAATCTTTATATTTGCCAAATAATGAGGATATCGGTTTGATAATTATTACAGGAGATACTGTTGACTTTCCATCCAACCCTAAGTATTTATTTGGGGCAGAGGAACTGACCACAACTACTTTTAATCTATATATATAAATCAATTGTTGTTCATTGGTAAACGAATCAGCTAAGAACGGCTGGACGGATATGAATATTTTTTTTAATTGTCGTCCTACCCCGAGTTTGGTTTCTATGCAAAGAAAAAGTGACCACGCCACTTTTACGCCCATTTTTTCGATTTACCTAAAATCCTAAATGTTTCAGAATGCCTTATGAAATTGAAAATTCTTCCTAAAAAAATCGAGAAATTTTGCATATATTCAATACAATTTTGATTGAAAAATACTTCTCAAAGCATCAAAACATTAAAATCTCGACGTACTTTTAAATTGGGGCTATGCATAATGGGGAACAACAGTAAATTAAATTGTAAGCAGTCATATACAACGTAATCTTGACTCTCCCTCCAAGCCACACCCAGTTTTTTAGATCTATGCGTAAAAATGTAAAAAAGCATAGTAAAACTTCAGTTGAGGATGACTGGTCTGATTTAACTCATATTTTCTTTTGGTTATTTGTAATTACACTGGAAACGTTTTCAAGAAAGAAAATTTTGAGAAATGTTTCTAGAAAAATTGCAGAACTCAAATTAACTGTTCTATTTGGATATGAAATTTTGTGTAGAATTGTTTCAGAATGGCTTTTGAAATTAAAAAATCCTATTGAAAAACCTCGAGAAATTTTGCATATTTTGTGTACATGCCGTTACATGTTCAATTTTGATTAAAAAATATTTCTCGAAGCATCAAAGCATTTAAAAGCTCAACGTGCTTTTAAATATATATTGCCGGTATTGATTTCACAATACTCAAAACATTAAATGTCAATTTACAGTTCATTCGGTAGAAATTGTAACAAAAACATGTCATAATTTAATTGACAAAGATTTCTACTTTTTAATACAATAAACCGATGAAACCTTATTTTTGATAGTTAAAGTCATATTTCCAGGATTTCTATTTAGAAATTACTTTCGATCCTGTGGTCGGAAACTTCAAAAAATTGACTAGATATTGAAATAGTCCATCCAATGCAAAATTCATTAGGACTTTAATTAGTGAACTACCGAATATGAAGAGGCAATGTAATATGCGTACTACACAAAACAGTGGAGCGAATTGAAAATTTGGTAAGAAAAGTAATCATATCATTGGAAAATTCTTGCGAGCCCTTAAACGAACCCGTAACCTTAAATCACAGGTAACTTCATACGGGCACTATGGGCTATCGCTGCACCCAAGACAATCATGAGGTTGGTAGATAAGAATCTTTTAAGGGGTGGGGTTCCCGGGTCAAACTTTTTAGGGTCCATTTTATATAGCTTAAACATACGCAAAGGGCCTCAAATATTTTCCTCTATACTCCGCAAAAGTTAATGCAGTCCTATGGGTTACATAAAGATTCATTTTGTACAAAATATGTTTCAGGTTGGTATGCATTGCCCCTTTTTAATTCCTTAAATGTTGGTAATTTGAGATTTTAGAAAGAACAAAACATTCTTTCAAATAATTATAAATATTGGACCAAGCTTTGGTATAACCCTTGTATGAAGGCATCCACTAATTTCAATTATTTCCAGGGTCATGGTCACATTGTAGGTCACATCTTCGCGGAAAATTTTCAATGTCAATGTTTTGGCGCTACCTATATAAGGTACCCCCTGATTTTATTTATTTCGAGGGTTTTGATTATATTTTGAATCGATTTGGCTTAAAATGTGTGTTTAGGCTACTTTGGGGGTAGAGAACCATCTTACATGGGACTATTATAAACAATTGGTGTATACAGTTTAATATATGTGCTATATTATTTACGTGAACCTATATTGACATTTTTGAAATGCATATTTATTTCTCTTTAGATGAGTCATCATTTATACTAAAAATTGTGCCACTTTTGTGAGCCAGATCTGTGAATTACCATGCTTTAAAAACTATGCGTTAAAGACTAAAAAACAGAACAGAACAAAAACTAAAACTACGGGCAACGCGGTCTGGGACAGGTGTACTTGATATTTTGGCGATATAAATATATATATATATATATATATATATATATATAATAATAAGTACACCGTGTTTTATGTTCATCGTCGCAACGTACGTTAAGTTTTTAAGTAAAATATGGCAACTTTGCACCATTCCAACATATATATGGCAACTATGAATCAAATATATAGATTAAAAAGTAGTTGTGGTCAGTTCCTGTGCCCAAATAATACTTAGGGTTGGATGGAAAGTCAACAGTATCTCCTGTAATAATTATCAAACCGATATCCTCATTATTTGGCAAATATAAAGATTTTAGATAAATCAAAATAGTGGGCGTAAAAGTAGGCGTGGTCAATATTTTTTTTTTCTTAAAGAACCTAACTTGTGGTATGACGAACGTTTGTACAAAAAATTATGCAAATCGGTCCAGCCGTTCTCAACTGATTTCATTACCAACGAACCACAATTGATTTATATATATATATATATATATATATATTGATTTATATAATATATATAGATATATATATATAGTATATATATATAATATATATATATATATATATATATTATATATATATATATATATATATATATATATATATATAAATTGTTTCAAAATGTCTTTCATTTGTCTTTCTTTCAAAATGTCTTTTGCAAAACATTAAAAATCTCGACGTAACTTTTAATTGAAGCTATGCCTAATGGGGAATAGAAAATCTATATATATATATATATATATATATATATTATATATATATATATATATATATATATATATATATATATTATATATATATATATATTTTATTTTTTTTTTCAATTATATTATATATATATATATATATATATATATATATATATATATATTATATATATATATAGATTTTCTATTCCCCATTAGGCATAGCTTCAATTTAAAAGTACGTTGAGATTTTTAATGTTTTGCAAAAGACATTTTGAAACAATTCTACATAATACTCCATATCAAAATTGTCTGTAATTACAAATAACCAAAAGAAAATTTGAGTCAGATCGGCCCAGCCGTCTCAACTGACGTGTTACTATGCTTTTCTATGTTTATTTTTTTTTTTCATATAGCTTTAAAGAAGTAGGTGTGGCCAGTTCTTCCGGCCCCATACAGATACCTATGGTTGGAGGGAGAGTGAAGATTATGTCGTATACTAACTGTAGAATAGACATCTTCATAATTTTGGCACATTTTAGATAAATCGAAAAAATTGGCGTAAATTGGGCGTGGTCACTTTTTCTTTGCATAAAAACCTTACTCGGGATGGAACATACATTTAGAAAAAAATTATAAAAATTGTTCCAACTGTTCATAACTGATTCAATTACCAACGAACACAATTTTTCTCTATATATATAGATAGGCGTGGTCAGTACCTCAGCGCCCAAACAAATACTTAATGCTGGGGGGAAGTCAACAGTATCTCGTGTAATAATTTTTAAATCGAAATCTTCATTATTTGGCAAATATAAGGATTTTAGAAAAATCAAAATAGTGGGCGTAAATGTAGGCGTGGTCAATATTTTTATACCCTCCACCATACTATATTAATTTTGTCGTTCCGTTTGTAACTCCTCGAAATATTCATGTCAGACCCAACAAAGTATATATATTCTTGATCAGCGTAAAATTCTAAGACGATTAAGCCATGTCCGTCTGTCTGTCTGTTGTAATCACGCTATCTTTCGAACAAAGTGAAATAGAAGGCTAAAATTTTGCACACATGTATATTTTGCCAGTAGGCAGGTTAAGTTCGTAAATGGGCCATGTAGGTCCAAGTTATCATATAGCCCCCATGTAACGATACCTCCCGATATTCGGTATTTTGATGAGTTTAGCGACATTATTCACCGGAATTGTTTCAAATTTGGCACTTGAAGTTCCTAATGGATA